TCAAATTCATCTCTGTATCTCCAATGCCTAGGAGTGCATCAAATATAGAAGTTGCATAATAGATATCCATGAAATCAATGAACATAGTAGATGACTACACACTATTTTCCTTTTCAGCATTAAAATCCATGAGACACGAAATTTTAACCTGTCACAAACTTTGTTATAAAATTTATTATTAGACACATGTACCATAATCATAGTTCTCTAATATTAGTGTTTCTTAATAATAAAAAAGAGTGCTGTGAATTGTGTAAGACTGTTGAATCACAGACCTGTACCTCTGAAACAAATTATACATTATATGTTAAAAAAAAGAAGAAGATAGCAGGAAGGGAAAAACGAAGGGGGGGAAATCGGAGGGGGAGACGAACCATGAGAGACTATGGACTCTGAAAAACAAACTGAGGGTTCTAGAGGGGAGGGGGGTGGGGGGATGGGTTAGCCTGGTGATGGGTATTAAAGAGGGCACGTTCTGCATGGGGCACTGGGTGTTATACATAAACAATGAATCATGGAACACTACATCAAAAACTAATGATGTAATGTATGGTGATTAACATAACATAATAAAAAAAACACAGATATTTTGTAATTTAAAAGGAACAAAGTCAATGAAAGCAAAACCATGTCTAATTATTTTTGCCATTACAAAATAACTACCCAACATATGTATTTTCCTTCTGTCATCAGCTGAACAAATCTAGAAAAACAAAGCATCTCATGGAGCTAAAATTAACAGTACTGAGCATTTATAGAATAAGCATATTTCATAATGAGGCTGAAAAGAAATTCAACTTTCCTATGAGCATTCGGTCTCTTACATAGCATACTCATCAATAATAGCAAAGCATCCTTCTCATGACCTCATAAGGTTCAGTGTCTGCCACTTCTTTCTTCCTAAACCTCAATGAATTACCCTTCCCTCTTGATAAGTACCTCACAGGTGTATTCAGTCCTTGGCAATATTCTAGGTTTTCTTCTTCTCTTCCTTCCATCCTATCCTGCACATTCACCATGCACCAGGATTTGACAAATCACAGGTTCTCTAAATACCTCCACTTCCTCCCTATGAAGATCACGATCAAATTCTCATCCACTGACCTTATTTCCTAAAACATCTCCATGCGTTCTCTTACAGCATTCAAATCTACTCAAGCTGTCCTCCAAACAATTCCTTTCACCAGTCCTCATTCCTCCAATACTGTACTTTAAAAATACATCTCAGCATCCACTCTCCCCATTAATTAACTATACATTTATTGAGCACTTCATGTGCCAGATTAGTAAAGGTAATTTCAAACAACCACCCACTCTTCATTTGTTCATCCAACAAACATTTATTATGTGCCCACTACATGGCAGATAATATGTTAGGCACTAGGGATACAAAGTGAACAGAAGTGGATGGTCCTTGGACTTACAGAGCTTATAATCTAATAGGATGAAAGAGTTATTAAACAATCACTGAATAACTGTGTAACTGTAAACTAAGATTAATACAATGTAAGAATGACTAAGAGTGCTGAGAAAGCCTATTATGTGGAATCTAATTTGGAAGAAACAGACAATGTTTCTCCAAGGAAGTAATGTTTAAATTTAGATCCAAAGGAAGAGTAGGAATTAACTAAACAAAGAGGAAAAAAAGATAATTCTTGGCAAAGAGAACAGTTTGTACAGAGAAGTACTGGACAGAAGGCAGCACTGTGCATCTGAGAAAAGAGTACAGGCAAAATGGCAGGAGACAAGAAGGGGCCACATAAGAAGATCAAGACCTCCCAGGGCAGTAGGCTATATCAAGCAGCAGCTCATTTGTTTTCTCTCTAAGCAAATCAATCTTAAAAAAAAATAAAATGTTAAAAAAAGAAAAATCCAAGAAAAGATGTACAGCACAATGCTATACAAAGTGTGGTCAGCAAACTATTTGTTACTGGTTCATGATGGGATAAATACAGCAAATAAGAGTTTAGTAGCTTTTATTACAATTGGACAGAGTAATCCTACATCTCTTAAATCCAAAAAATTTCTATTTTTAAACTTATTTTTCTAGTAATTTTTATTGTATTTTACAGCAGTGCCAAGCTGTGAGATATATATATATATATACACATATATATATATATATATTTTTTTTTTTGAGAGACAGAGTGAGCCAGCGAGAGAGAGCACAAGCTGGAGGAGGGGCAGAGGGAGAGGGAGAAGCAGACTCCCCTCTGAGCAGGGAGCCCGATGCGGGACTCAATCCCAGGACCCTAGGATCATGACCCGAGCCAAAGGCACCTGCTTAACCAACTGAGCCACCCAGGCGCCCCAACATATCATATTTTAAAAAACTTTCCCTACAGATTTTGAGTAGTATTGGCCTAGAAGGCACCTGAACCAAGACTCAGAAATAGTATAAATTACAAATATAAATTAGAAAATGATGAAAGTATAGATGGAAAACTCTGGACATTGGATGAACTTGACAAAGAAAGATTTATACAGAGAAAAAGAGGGTTTTAGGACTAAGAATTGAGGAACTTAGCCATTTGGCAGCCAAGTAGAAAATGAGCCTGCAAAGGAAACTGAAAATCTACCTACCAACAAAAGGATGGAGAAAAACTAGGAAAGTTTAATGGCACATAGCCAAAAATTAAAGTGTGGTTTGTTTGTTTGTTTTTTAAGATTCTATTTATTTATTTGAGAAGAGAGAGTGAGAGAGAGAAAGAGTATGAGCCGGGTGGAGGGGCATGGGGGGAGAGAGAAGCAGATTTCCCACTGAGCAGGGAGACCCATGGGGGGCTTGATCCCAGGACTCTGGGATCATGACCTGAGCCCAAGGCAGATGCTTAACCTACTGAGCCACCCAGGTGCTCCCCAAAATTAAAGTGTTTTAAGAAAAAGGAAATGGTAGACAATGCCAAAAGTTGCTGAGAGGTCAAGTAAGGGAAATAAAGAAAAACTGTCCATTATATTTATCAACATGGAGATGATCAGTGACCATGACCGGGACAGTTTCCACAGAATGATGGGATAGATGTCAAAACTTAAATAGGCTAAGGAGTAGGTGACAGAGGAGTAGACAGAGACTACTCCATTTATGAAACTTGGCAATGAGCTACACCTGGCTGGCTCAGTCAGTAGAGTATGCGACTCTTGATCTCAGGGTTTTGAGTTCAAGTCCAACGCTGGGAGATTACTTAAAAATAAAATCTTAAAAAAAAAAAAGAAAGAAAGAAACTTGGCAATGAAAGGATGGAAACAGAGAGGGTGGTGGTAAGAAGAAAATGTGGAACTTTTGTTTTGATTTAAGATGTAAGAGAAATCAGCAGGTTTAAATTTCAAGGGAAGGATCCAGTTGAAAAAGAGATTATATATTCAGGACAGAACAAATTATTCTCTGATCCCTAAATGAAACTGAAAACACTGTGTTAACTCTAAGATTGTCATTAGGTTGTGCATTAGACATAAAATTCTTGCCACACAGTTTAACTGGTGTTCCATTTTTTCAAAGCTATAACACAGCTTCAACACACAGAAGCTTTACCAATTAACTTTTCCGATAAATCCATTCTCCTAACTCAAGGGAGCTGTGATCTAGGATAAGGGCTTTAAAATCAAATACCGCCTGCCGCTTAGTACCTGCGGAACCTGGAGCCAAATACATTAACTATTCTTTCTCTGTGAAATGGGCATAATAATACATTCCCATCTTCCAGGGCTTCTATTAAAGTTAAATGAGATATGTGACATACCCAATCTACTGGTAACAATACTATGTAACTGGTAGCTGTTATTAAATATCAGAACCTGTGTAGTAGAAGAAAAAACCCTAAAGCCTTTCATTCTTAGAGACACAGCGATATCTCTCAGGAAGGATGTATCCACATCTTTACTGAGTGTTTAGTTTTCTGATATATATATCCCATGCTCGCTACCTTTAAGCAATGTTACAGTTAAATATGTCGTTAATCTTAAACGAGGCAAAGTCGTTTCAAGCGCAACTTATACATTCAAAACAATTTACAAAAGTGATAGCGTGACTTAATCCCCGGATAAGCTGTTTCGGCTTAACTTCTCCAATGCAGGCACGGCTGCGGGTGTACGAACTTGTGTGCCACTCTCACACCTGTGTCTCGCCCAATTTTCAAAAGCCTCTGCACCTTAAAGGCGGCATCGCTAGGTCTACGTTCTTCTCAGGTTGCGCCCCCTCGGCCTCAGGTCTCCCACCCAGAACTCTTTACCCTTTTCTAAGGAGTTGGTCACCACCAGAATCCCGGCCGCTGCCGCCGTGCCTGGCCCAGCAGAAGAAGCCGAGGGCCCCGAAGGAGAGGAAGCAGAAGAGGGCGAGGTTGAACCATTCTCTGCGCTTCGGTTCAGCCGTTTCCTGTTCTTCTTGGAAGACATGATCAGGAGGAAACCTAGGAAAAGCTACCGCAAAGCCGGCTCAACGTGCTCGGTTCTCTGGAAGAAAAACTTCCGGGGCAGAAGTCAGCGAGACTCCGCCCTGCGCCGTAACCCCCCAAGTGGAGCGCAGTAGAAAAAGGGAGACCCGAGCATTTTCAGAACCCGCCATCTTGGAAGAAGAGGTTCTGACTTTTGCAAAGGAAGACGGATTATGTGGACACAAGCGTCATTTAGATTGTAAATTCCTGAAAGGATTTTTTTGGCATCTCTGCCCGCCTTTCCCATCCCATCCCTGAACAAACGTCTGTTGACTTAAACTAGAAAAAGAAAGTGGTGGAAAAGTTTCTCTCCGGCTTTCCTGGAACCGGGCAAATTCCTGAGAGGAGCTGGGGAACAGGACTTCGCGGTCCCTGCCGTACAGCGCTAAAAAAAAAAAAAAAAAAAAAAAAAGTGGTAACAGCGCAACTTCGAGATGGATGGGTGGCACTCTTCTAAAGTTTACGGTAGAGACCTCCGCTCTGGAACTCAAAGGAAGGTTAATTTAGGGGCCGAGCTAGTGGTGGGACGCGGACGCGTAAATGCTGCCACTACCACGGGGACGTTTTTGGCGCGCAGTGCTCTTGCGGACCTGCAGCGCAAGGCTCTTGGGGCACCACGGGGCTTCCGGCGGTCCGGGTTGCAGGTGGAACCCTCCTGTCGGAGCGGAAGAACTGCGGGGAGAGCTGGACAGATTCGGGGGCGTCTCAGTGCGCCTTCCGCGGCTCGGCGCGCTGGATCGCCTGGACGCCGCCTCATTCCAGAGGGACTTGCAGGGCAAGTGTTCCTGGGCCGAGGGGTTCCCTGGCTCCGGAGACTTTCTAATGAAGTAACCGGGGCCCCTGTTCACCTGACACGCTCTCCGCGAATCAAGTACCGAGCCCTAGGGAGAGAGGGCAGGTGTGACCCGTACCAATTTCGCCCCCTTTCGTTCTTGTGTCCCTTGCTGGGAGGTTCCTGGGGCGGTTGGGTGAAATGGTAACTATCCCAGCCTTTGAGATCGGCAGCCCTAGTTTCTGCTGCACTTTCTAGTGTGTGACCTTCGGCAAATTGTGTAAACTACCATTTCCCCTACCATAAAACCGGTTAGTATCGCATAGGATTGCTGAGGGTTAAGTTGGGTAATGCATATAAAGCGCATATCACGGTCTCTGCCACATACTTAACGCTCAGTAATGTTAATATTATTTCATTATTATTTACTATCGTTTACCGGGCCTTAGTTCTGCGGGGCACTTTGCCCGAGAAAAAACTATACAGGTGGTGGACAATGAGTGGACCAGAGAGATACTAACTGGTCATTTTTGTACACAAATTGGGTCAGGCTGACGCATCAAGAACTAGAGTTTGCTAGAGACAGAGCAATAAGTCTTTTATGGTTAACAAGGGAGGGTAGTGGGCGGTTTCAGTCTTCAATAAAAAAACTCTCACTCTCCTTGAACCTAAGTCCAAAGAGGAAAGAAAGCTTGGATGGAGAAACCTTCAGTTTGAGAGAAGCCCGTGATTTGGTTGGGAGTTTTTCACACTGCCCCTGATGGTTCTTCTATTAGAATTGAAGGCCTAGTACGGAAATTCAGCCATGGAAAGATTCTCTCACTCTAAAAAGAAACTTCAGATAATCTTTATCCTATTGAGCTATTAATAAGGCAAGTGAGCATCACTTGTCTATATAATTGAGCTAGTTATTTCGTTCTTTAATCATTCTCCTTCCCAAACTACCTCTTCACCGCATTTTCTCTCCTACTTGTGAATAATTGCTGACTCCAACAATATCAACAGTAGGAGAATCAAGTCAAAATTCATCCTCTAATATATCTACCTATGTGTAGTATAGGAAGATACAGATATTTATTGCACACACTTGTCACTCGTCAGTGGCCAGGTGGTTAAAGCACTTTCTTAGAAAGGCAAAGCATGAGGGTTGGGTTTAGAGTCACACATCCGGGTTTCAAGCCCCAGATTCTAACAGGTGCTTAGTTGGGTAGAAGGCAAACCACCACTAAAAATATTTGCCTCTTACGTTGCGTACATGAATAATGCCAACCCTAATTACTTTACTGGATACATGTGGTAATCGAAGATAAATTATAGGAAACTAATTTATAATCTGTGCAGTACCATATACGTTTTATAGTTTTTAATAAACATTTTAATGTTTTAATAACATTTTAATGTTTTAAAAAACATTGCGTTTATGAATTCCTATTGCTAAACACTTTTAAGAATTTTACAAATATTAATTCATTTCATCCTCATAACAACTCTGGGGTAAATGCTGTTACCTTTACTTTAAAAGTGATGGTACTGAGGCACAGAGAGATAAGTAACTTCCCTTGGCTCTATAATCTGTTCTTAATGCATTATGCTGCCTCTAAGAGCTAGTGTAAATTTTGTTATTAAGTCAAACTAGCATTTTCACTTGATTAGAATGACTAGGGAGGATATGTGAACTTTCTGAGATAATAGAAATGTTCTTTAATCTTTATTGGAGTGTGTTACATAAGTGTATGCATATGTCAGAACTCATTAAATGTACACTTAAGATTTGTGTGCTTCACTTTATGTAATTGTACATCAATTTTATTTTATTTTTTTATTTTTTTATTTTTTTTTTTAAAGATTTTATTTATCTGACAGAGAGAGATATAGCGAGAGCAGGAACACAAGCAGGGGGAGTGGGAGAGGGAGAAGCAGGCTTCCTGCGGAGCAGGGAGCCCGATGTGGGACTCAATCCCATGACCCTGGGATCATGACCTGAGCCGAAGGCAGACGCTTAACGACTGAGCCACCCAGGCGCCCTGTACATCAATTTTAAAAAGATTTAAATCAGAGAGAGAAAGAGGTGGGCAAGAAGGATCTGACTCCATAGCCCCAAATCAGAAGCTTTTATGAAAGGCTCCCATGTGTTTGTCACTGTATTAGACCCACTGCCTTTTAAAGAGGTAGAGAACAGGGTCCTTAACGGGGGAGTCACTTACTGCACAGCTGGAGAAGAGGGGGAAAAGAAATTTAACCATTAAATAAATAATCAAACCTTCCCACCACCCACGCACACAATTTGCAAGATTATTTTAAAGATTAAGTGAGGTGATGGATGGAGAAAGTGATCTGAGAAGTTTTTCTAAGACTGCAATATTATTCACCCATAAATTAGGGGCGATAATACTTGCCTTTCAGGTTGTGAGAACGTAATGAGATAATATATGTAGAGTGTCTAGAACTTAGTAAGGACCAAATGTTAGAATCTTTTTCTTCTGGCTCAATCTTAGGTAATAAAATAAGAGAATTTGCAGAAGTCAAAAACAGAAAAATCTACGTTCATCTTGGTATTTAGGAGTAGGAGTAAGAGGTTGGTTAAGTAGCTTTTGGTGTACCTATCTGAGGAAAATTATGCAGTCATTAAAAATTTACATTCATTAATTTTAATGACATAGCAAAATGTTTATAATAAGTAGTAAAAGATATGCTATAAATTGTATATGGTGTGATGTCAATTCCAAAATTATATTCATGGAAAAATGTCAAAATTATATTTTTATCTCTGCATGCTAGTAAGATATGAAGTTTTGATTTCTTCATTATATTTTCAGTTTTTTCTAGGACTGGTATACATTATTTAAAAACAAAGTTAGCGTTTTAACCACCTTGAAATTTATAAGCCAAAAAAATTATAACAGATCTCTTAAAGAAAGTGTAAGTAGAAGCCCATAATAGTCATTTATAAAGATTAAAACTAAGGATGTTAAAAGGAACAGCATTAAAATGGTATTTTATTTAAATCGAGTTTTTTTGTTCATTCTACAAATATTGAGCACCAGTTATGTGCCAAGCATTGTGGTCAGGTGATATGGATATACTGACTATTCTCAAGGAATTCAGTCTGATGGAAAAATCACATAAGCAAGGTACTAATTGCAATAAAACATGATAGTTCCCATGCTGTTGATGTGAACCAGAGCGTTTTAGGATTTCCCTCCCCCATCGCTTCCAAGCTAACTACTAAGGGAGGTGGATGTTTTAGGATGGCTTTTGAGAAGAGGTGACACCTGAGATCTTCCACTCCTTTCACTGGAAAATGTTTACAGATTTTTATCCTCATCTGCATTTTAGCTGCAATACAACAATGGAGATCAGAAGGTAGGATAGCGGTATGGCTGCATATTCCCATCCTCCAAAGCCGATTTATTGCCCCTGCTGCTTCCCTGGGTTTCCGCTTTCACCATGCAGAATCGGATTCATCCACGCTGACACTGTGGCTGGGAGAGGGACCCAGCAGATTACCAGGATATGCTACACATCAAGTAGGAGTTGCAGGTCAGTTTCAAACTAACAATAAAATTAACGTTTTAGAAGTTCACCCAATTTTTTCTTACAGCTAAGTGATAGTTTATTCATGTGTAATGAGTAGCTTGATAAAATGTTTATCCTTGGGATTATTAAAGAGTGCTTTAAATAGATGAAGTTTGCCTTATGAATCAGCAGAGGGCAGCACACCAAACAAGTTTGGTGTTTAAGAGGATACCTTTGAACACTTTTATATAGGTATTTGAACTTCAATACTCAAATGGTAACACTGAATTGGGCTCAGGGACTAAATCATTATGGTAAAACATACTAGTACTAATTATGTGAATGTGTAAAATAAAAGATAACTTTTAGGTTAAATTTAAGGTAAAGCAAAGCAGATTTTTTATTTGGACATTACTTCTTAAAGATAATTACATTAAGTTATGGTGCCAAACAGTTGCTTAAGATAGCATGATTTAAGTATATTACGGACTTTTCAAGACACTGATTAACTTCAAAGACATGGTCTTGAGAGATTTGCTTTAGGTTAAGACTGGAGTTCTCAAATTGTAGAGTGTGTCAAAATTACCTGGAGAGTTTGCTGAAAACACCCCTGCTGGGCCCCACATCTAAGAGTTTCTGATTCAGTTGGTGTGGGGGGTTGCCAGAAAATTTGCATTTCTAATAAATTCTCTGCTGCTACTGCTAATGTTAATGCTGGTCCCTGAACCATCCTTTGAGAACCAGGGGTAAAAAAAAACTGAAATAGTAAGTCCTTATGACTTAAATGAAAGCAGGATTATATATAAGCTAGTAATTTAATAATTTTATTTGCCTTCATATAATTTAAAAGCGTTTTTAAAGGTAGTTTGCACCTTTGAAGTTAAAAAGGAGTTGTTCAAGGATGTCTAATGTTTTCTCTATCCATGATCTCACTCCCTTGTAACAAGTAGAGGCATTTAGAAATTTCCATTCAGCTCTACTTCAAAAGACTGGTAATTTGATAGCACCCTCACACTTCATTAGAAAGTCATGCAGATAATTATTAATTCATTGGTATAGACTTTTAAATTAGACTTTTAAATCCAGTTATTACTGCAGAATTGGTAATATATGCATATAGAGTATACTATGAAGCACTTGTTTATAACTAAATAGTATGTATTATAGTTAAGATATACCATAGGAGTTCAGGCAATGAGAGATCTGGAACTTGAAGTCTTGAAGTATAACTAGGATATGAAGTGGCTATTAGGGGTGGTAATGAAATCATGTAAGAAATTTTCTGGAAAGGTACAGTGTTTTTTAGGTAAAGGGAAAGTAAGTGACATTTATTGTTATAAGCAGCAGAAGGTAGATGTGGCTGGTGAACATACCACCACAAAATATACCACATTGGCATATTGATTATTTTGAGCTCGAGAAAACACTAGATACAGGAAGGGTCCTCTGCCTCCCCTTTTTTACCTTAAAGCAGGGCATAAATTTTTTGTACCAGGAAGAGGAGACATTCTTATAGAAGATGAGGAGTTGACACCAAGATGAGTCTGTACAAATAAACCTTATTAAAATAACTCTTGTATTCCATTAATTTCCCCCGTATATGTCCTAGTCATTTTCCCACCATTTACCTCCTTATCCCAAACCTCTTTTTCTTTTGTCTTGTCATGTCTCCATAATGTATTGCTCTTTGTTGAAATGGTATATATGCCCCTGGGCTTAACCACTTTTTTGGGATTTTCAGTTCTTTTAATCAATTCTTCCATCACCACCCCCAGGCCATGTAAATATAATAAATAAAAAAAAATATATATATTTCTCCATTAATCTGTCTTCTGTCAGTTCAGTTCACAGCCCTAGACATAGAACCTAAGTATTAGAGGAAAAATCTTTCCTTCCCCACACTGGAATGGAGTGAGCTATGGTTTTGTTACTGTTCTTTAAACACAACAAGCTTGTATCTGCCTCAGAGCTTTCACACCTATTGGCTCGTCTTCCTGTAGTACTCTTTCCCAGGGCTTTGTTTATCTAGCTCTTTAGAACTGAAGTTTCTGCTCCAACATCTTCTCAAAATTCTCCTGACCTTCCTGTCTAAAATACAGTCCTCCTGCATCATTCATGGTCCCTTTATCCAGGTCTGTTTTTCTATATAACACCCACCACAATCTGAAATTATATCATGTACTTAATTTCCCCCACAATAATATAAACTCCATGAAGGCAGGTATTTTATTTGTCTTTTCCACCACTGCGTTGTCAGGTTAAAGACAGTGTCTGGCATAAAGTAGATACTCAATAAATATTTCTTGAATGATTAGATAGCTCTTCAAGTGGAAACTCAAGTCCCCAGAGAACACAATTGTGTGGGGAAGGGACACGGTTGCACAGTGAGAATACCAGCTGAGAATCCAGACAGACAGTTTTAGGGCTGTGTGAACTTGGGCACTCAAAATGATACCACTCACACGATTATTGTGAAGAATACCTGAGATGATGCACATAAAGCACTTAGCACAGTATCTGACTAATCATAATATAATAAAAATCTCTAATCCCTGATCTCTGTGTTTATTTGCCATTTAAGTTGTGACCAGCAGGGGTCGCTCACGTTGTGCCTTAGCCATGCTGGTTTTGTCTTTGAAGTAAATATTTTGCTCATGTTTATAATTCATTAGGGAAAATTGCAATTTGAGTAATGACAAATTATTAAAATTTAAAAGTAGGTTTCCTTGGCATTTCTTTGGCATTCTAACCCTTATAAAGTCCAATTAAATTATAGTTTATGTTTTCTAATGGAAGCCAATATTAATGTTAATTATATCTCACTTAGTGGTTTTCCTTCTTTTTTTTAAACACTAAAATGTGGAGTTTTCATTTCAGAGAAATTTGTCCTTCCTTGTATTATATATACCTATCCCTTTCTATATTTTATTTCTACATAGCATTGTCACCTCATGTTCTATATAATTTGTTTTCTATTTGTTTGTTACCTTCTCATACACACCAGAATGTGAGCCCACTGAGGATAGGGAATTTTGTTTTGTTTACCACTATATCCCTAGCACCTAGAAAAATGCCTGACACATAACAGAGCTCAAATAATATATAGAGAACCCATATGTATTATATATAAGAACTCAATTACTATTGAAAGGGTATGTAGAAAATATCTTTTTAACAATATTTCCTCACATTATGTAAATATAAATATTTTTAAATTATAGCATTTAAAGGAATTAATACAAATCATTAAGGTGTCACTTATATTTTTGACCCAGGATTATCAAAAACAAATAAACCTTAATTTATTTGAGTCCCTAACATCTAGCCAAATGCATAGTGTGCTTGCAGTGTGTATATTGAATGTATAAATAAAAGAAAAGGATTAGAACTTAGGACATATATAAAATAAACAATTATCCCAAAGCAATGTATTGGTATGTTATAAAGTCATATGCACACGCGGTAAAAAAAAAAAAAAAAAAAGTAAGTGACTTCAGTGAGATCCTGAACTGAATATTGAGATATTTGAGAGTTAGATCATCAGAGGCACAACCCATGTTCTATATACATAGTGATTCAAGGAATAAAAATGAGAATAGAAAAGTCACTTCATTTATTCAATAAATATTTTTAAGCACTTAAGATTTGACATTAAAATAAATGCTACAGAAGGATAGAAAGCGAAAGATTAATTTATTTAACAATGTACCATCAGGAATAGATAATCTAGAGAAGAAGCTTATGCAGCTGATTATCCTACAACTTAGCATGTGCTAGAACCATCATTAGTATTCCAAGTTGTTAAAAGAACGTGAATAACTGAGCAGTCATTTTATTGCTGGAGAGATTTTAAAAGTGGTCAAGGATGAGGTGGTACTTGAACTAGGCCTTCCAGGATGGGTATGATTTTGATGACCACAGATAGGCGTATGGAGGAGTCTAAGGTGAATGAAATTACTATTTCTCAATTATCTTTTACTTTTCCCCAACAGGAGCTGTATTTGATGAAAATACTAGGAAAATATTGGTTGTACAAGATCGAAATAAAGTAAGTTGCTTCTGCTTTTAAAAATTTTTTTTTTAATTTTAGTATAATTAACCTACAGTGTTATATTAGTTTTAGGTATGCAATATAGTGATTCAGCAAGTCTATATTTACTCAGTGCTCATCACAGTAAGTGTACTCTTAATTCCCTTCCTCTATTTCACCCATCCCTGCACTTACTCCCCTCTGGTAACCACCAGTTTATTCTCTATAGTTAAAAGTCTGTTGTTTTGTTTGCCTCTTTTTTTCTTTCATTGTTTGTTTTGTTTAAGTTGCTTCTGCTTTGTAAATTGCTTTCTAAAATTTTCAGTTCTCCCTAGAGAAAAATAAAATGCAGAAATTTTTATATGCTCAAGGAATTACAGAGATATTTTAAAAGTTCTTTCTAAGCAGTTATGGATTATTAGGATATTTATTTAATTCCAAAAATACCTATGGAGGCTTTGAAAATGTCAGGATAACCTCATGTTGCTCACTATTATATTATGGCTACAGAAAAAGTATAAATGGCTATATTTAAGTGGGAAGACAACTGTGTTTCTCAGACTGTCAAGATATTCTTCTGTTCATTCAGCATTCATTAACTCCCATTCTGAGCCAAGTGCTGAGAATACAAAGGTTGTTAAAACAGCTGACCTTTCAAGTTTTTACTTCTTTGGATCTCTCTTACAGCCCTATGGACTTTTCCTAGATCTTATCATTACTCATGTTGTGACTTAATAATTCTTTATTTTAAAATTTCCTTGTTTAATTCATTGTGTGCCTATATGTCCTGATTGGAAACAATGAGACAGTAGTTAGAGAACAATTTTTTTAAGAAGTTTTGCTATAAGGGAGGAAGATAAATGCAGTAGTAATGAGGGTATTTGAGATTAGTAGATGAATTTTTAACAACAGATACTAATGCAAGTTTATAACTGAATGGAAATATTTGGTAGGGAAGGAGAAACTTATAATGAAGGAATGAGAAAGATAAATGCAGAAGAGTAATAGATTAAAAAAGGTAAAAGAGGATAAAAATCCAAAGCAGGAATGGAAGGACTAGCTGTGAAAGAGGGAGGGACAGTTATTTTCATTCTTAAAAGAGGAAAAACAAAAAATAAGATTTGTGGAGATATACAGATTTAGTGATGGGACAACATGGGAGCTCCTATCTGAGCACTTCCATTTCCCTCAAAGGAATAGCAGGAAGAGTCACCAACTGAGAAAGATGGGAGAGGAGAGGTTATTTATAGATGTGAGGATAGAAGAGAAGGTATGAAATATTCATCTCAGAAAATGAAGGCAACTAGGGAAGTATAGTAAGATTGACAAATGGTGTTAAATGTCCTCTTAGATTTGTGGGTATTATTGAAAATGAGAGGAATCAAAAAGAGTTCTGTGACTTTCTCAAAGAATTTTCAGCTGCTCAGGCACAGAAAAAAGGCAAATACTCAGGTTTAACTAGATTAGAATTTTTCCTGGATAAGTATAACGGAGAAAAGAATTAACTATTTGTGTAGGAGTAATTATTTTATTTTAATCAATTCTCCACTCCAGCAACCCTCAGTTTGTTTCCTGAGATTAAGAGTCTCCCTCTCTGCTTTTGTCTTGTTTCATTTTTTCCTCTCTTCTCCTATGATCCTCTGCGTTGTTTCTCAAATTTCACATATCAGTGGGATCATATGATAATTGTCTTTCTCTGATTGACTTATTTCACTTAGCATAATACCTTCTAGTTCCATCCACATCGTTGCAAATGGCAAGATTTCATTTTTTGATGGCTGCATAATATTCTATTGTATATATATATATATATATACCACATATTCTTTGTCCATTCATCCATCTGTGGGTATCTGGGTTCTTCCCATATTTTGGCTACTGTGGACATTGCTGCTATAAACATTGGGGTGCATGTGCCCCTTTGAATCACTATGTTTGTATCCTTTGGGTAAATACCTAGTAGTGCACTTACTGGGTCATAGGGTAGCTTTATTTTTAACTTTTTGAGGAACCTCCATACTGTTTTCCAGAGTGGCTGCACCAGTTTGTATTCCCACCAACAATGCAAGAGGGTTCCACTTTCTCCATATCCTTGCCAACATCTGTTGTTTCCTGAGTTTTTTATTTTAGCCATTCTGACCTATGTGAGGTGGTATCACTGTGGTTTTGATTTCTATTTCCCTGATGCCAAGTGATGTTGAGTATTTTTTCCATGTGTCTGTTGGCCATTTGGATGTCTTCTTTAGAGAAATCTCTGTGCATGTCTTCTGCACATTTCTTGACTGGATTTTTTTGTTTTGCTGTGTTGATAAGTTCTTTAGAGATTTTGGATAGTAGCCTTTATCTGATATGTCATTTGCAAATATCTTCTCCCATTCCATAGGTTGCCTTTTAGTTTTGTTGACTGTTTCCTTTGCTGTGCAAAAGCTTTTATCTTGATGAAGTCCCCAAAATAGTTTGTTTCTCTTGCCTTTGGAGACGTGTCTAGCAAGAAGTTGCTACTGCCTGTGTTCTCCTCTAGGATTTTGATGTCTCACAGGTCTTTCATCCATTTTGAGTCTATTTTTGTGGATGGTGTAAGGAAATGGTCCAGTTTCATTCTTCTGCATGTGGCTCTCCAATTTTCCCAACACCATTTGTTGAAGAGACTGTCTTTTTTCCATTGGATATTCTTTCCTGCTTTGTCAAAAATTAGTTGACCGTAGAGTTGAGGGTCCATTTCTAGGTTCTCTATTCTGTTCTATTGATCAATGTGTCTATTTTTGTGCCAGTACCATACTGTCTTGATGATTACAGCTTTGCAATACAGCTTGAAGTCTGGAATTGTGATGCCTCCAACTTTGGTTTTCTTTTTCAATATTCCTTTGGCTATTCAGAGTCTTTTCTGGTTCCATAGAAATTTTAGGATTCCAGCTCTATGAGAAATGCTGATGGTTTTTGATAGGGATTGCATTGAATGTGTAGATTGTGTGGTGGAGAGTTTTTATCAAGAAAAGATGCTGTATTTTGTCAGATGCTTTTTCTGCATCTGTTGAGAGGATCATATGGTTCTTGTCCTTTCTTTTATTAATGAAGTGTATCACATTAATTGATTTGTGGATGTTGAACCACCCTTGCAGCCCAGGAATAAATCCCACTTCATTGTGAATAATCCTTTTAATGCCCTGTCGGGACCCTATTAGCTAGTATCTTGGTGAGTATTTTGGCATCTATGTTCATCAGTGATATTGTCCTGTAATTCTCCTTTTTGATGGGGTCTTTGTCTGGTTTTGGGATCAAGGTAATGCTGGCCTCAGAATGAGTTTGGAAGTTTTCCTTCTGTTTCTATTTTTTGGAACAGTTTCAGAGGAATAGGTATTAATTCTTCTTTAAATGTTTGGTAGGCCTCCACTTATAGGGCCTTCTGGCCCTGGACTCTTGTTTGTTGGGAGATTTTTGATTACTGATTCAATTTCTTTTCTGGTTATGGGTCTGTTCATATTTTCTATTTCTGTTTCAGTTTTGGTAGTTTATATGTTTCTAGGAATGCATTCATTTCTTCCAGATTGCCTATTTTGTTGACATATAATTGCTCATAATATTCTTTTATAATTGTTTGAATTTCTTCAGTGTTGGTTGTGATCTCTCCTCTTTCATTATGATTTTTTTTATTTGGGCCCTTTCGCTTTTCTTTTTGATAAGTCTGGCTAGGGGTCTATCGATCTTATTCTTTCAAAGAATCAGCTCCTAGTTTCATTGATCTATTCTGCTATTTTTGATTTCTATATCATTGATTTCTGCTTTAATCTTTATTATTTCTCTTCTCCTGCTGGATTTAGGCTTTATTTGCTGTTCCTTTTCCAACTTCTTTAGGTGTAAGGTAGGGTGTGTATTTGAGACTTTTCTTGTTTCTTGATAAAGGCGTGTATTGCTATATACTTCCCTATTAGGACCACCTTTGCTGCATCCCAAAGGTTCTGAACTGTCGTATTTTTATTTTCATTTGTTTCCATGTATTTTTTTAATTCTTCTTTAATTTTTTGGTTGACCCATTCATTCTTTAGTAGGATGCTCTCTAACCTCCATGTATTTGTGTTTCTTCCAAATTTTCTCTTGTGATTGAGTTCAAGTTTTAAAGCATTGTGGTCTAAAATGTGCATGGTATAATCTCGGTCTTTTTATACGGTTTGAGACCTGATTTGTGACCCAGTATGTGATCTATTCTGTAGAATGTTCCATGTGCACTCAAGAAGAATGTGTATTCTGTTGCTTTAGGATGGAATGCTCTGAATATATCTGAAGTCCATCTGGTCCAGTGTATCATTCAGAGCCCTTGTTTCCTTGTTGATTGTCTGCTTATGGTCTGTCTGTTGCTGTGAGTGGGATGTTAAAGTCCTCTACTATTATTGTATTATTATCAATGTGTTTCTTTAATTTTGTTATTAATTGGTTTACATATTTGGCTGCTCTCAAATTAGGGGCATAAATATTCACAATTGTTAGATCTTCTTGTTGTATAGACCCTTTTATTGTGATATGGTGTCCTTCATCTCTTATTACAGTCTTTGGTTTAAAATCTGGTTTGTCTGATATAAGGATTATCACTCCAGCTTCCTTTTGATGTCCATTAGCATGATAAATGGTTGTCCACCCCCTCACTTTCAATCTGCAGGTGTCTTTGAGTCTAAAATGAATCTCTTGTAGACAGTATATTGAAGGGTCTTGTTTTTTTATCTAATCTGATACCTTATGTCTTTTGATTGGAGCATTTAGTCCATTTACATTCAGAGTATTTACTGAAAGATATGAGTTTAGTGCCATTGTATTACCTGTAAAGTTTCTGTTTCTGTAGATTCTCTCTGTTCCTTTCTGGTCTTTCTTACCTTTGGGCTCTCTTTGCTCAAAGGATCCCCTTCAGTATTTCGTGCAGAGCTGATTTAGTGTTCACGAATTTCTTTAGTTTTTGTTTGTCCTGAAAACTCTTTATCTCTCTTTCTATTCCGAGTGACAACCTTGCTGGATAAAGTATTCTTTGCTGC